CATAGCAAGATCGTGGAAGGATGTGTCTCCAGATACATTAAAAAATGCTTTGCATAATTTATGGCCAGCTACCACATTTCATGGTGAGGACGACGAAGATGATAGCCGCGAATTTGAAGGTTTTCGAATAGCGAAAACTAAAGGTGAAATTTTCCAGTTAATGGATTTTGTAAAGAAATGCGGAGAAGCGGTAATAAATGAAAATGATATAACAGAAGTTTTCCAGTGTAATGATAATGCCCCAATCATCAATCAACGGATGGCGAAATTTGTAGTACGTTTCTAGATCCAGAAAATACCGCTACGGATAGTGACAGAGAGGTTATTGAAAATGAAAGAATTTCGATTGACAAGTTAGTCGGTATTCTTGACACAGCAATTACAGTGGATTGAACAATGGGATTTTGTAACTGAACAAGAAATAATGTCTATTTATAGAATTAAAGAGAAATTATTAGCATGAAAAAATAAAGCAACTTAAACATTTTAAATTGAAAGAAATGTTTAATAATGTAAACAAATAAATATTAAGCTTTTTTGGTAAAATTTGATACCTGACAGATCATAATTGCTCTTTATTTCATAAATTACGGTTTTATATTTTTAATTGTATAATTTCTGCATGCCATCTTACCAAATTTAAATTGATGATCTATAATCTGGAAAAATCCCAAATTCGGAATCCCCGAAGTCCCGACGAGTGCAGACTTTGGACTTTGTACAGTATATGCAACCAATTTTCTTCTCCCTTCCATTGTGCCGGAGCGGAAAAAAAGACACCTCGTTCCTACCTTTTTACATTGTGCATGAGTGAGAAAAAAAGTCACATCGTTTCTACTTCCGAATAATTTTAGCAAAGTGTTTAAACGACATCTGATGTTTTATTACTTTCAACAAATGTACCAATGTTTTCAACCAATGTTTCAAAACGTGCCAATAAATAAATTCACGTATAGCTTCAGAAACTTTAAATAAAAAATTGTAATATTTTGCAGGTAAGCTTAGAAATACGTCTGTCTACTTTAAGATGATGGTAAAATTTTATAGATTATAATTCAATTTTTTTTGACAGATTAATAAAAAAATTTTAAACATACAAATTTTTTAAATAAATCATAAAAAATAGGCTATTTTTATTTGGAATAAACCTGAATTTCGAAATGTGAGAGGAAGAACCAAATAAGTTTAATAAAAAAGAAAGTAATTAAGACACAATAACACGCCGAATAAATACTAATTCAGAAGTCAAACAACAAAAATCAGCGTTATATTTACAAAATTTTCACAGGACTAGTTTCGATGGTTTTACCGAACCACCATCTTCAGCTGCAAAACTGCAAGCTGCATTGCGGTTTTGCAGCTGAAGATGGTGGTTCGGTAAAACCATCGAAACTAGTCCTGTGAAAATTTTGTAAATATAACGCTGATTTTTGTTGTTTGACTTCTAAATTAGTAAAAAAAGAAAGATTAATAAATATATGCCAAACTCAATTAACATTGAGGCTAAAATTTTTAGAGCTAATCTTTTAAAAACTACTCATGCAATTTTTACAAAATTTGGTAGTTTCAGTCGTAGAAACGAAATATGGAAGAAAATTTGTATGTTATTTCAGAAAAAGTCAGATTTTGTGTCAAAATACCTATATTAGAACAATGCTATATGTAAATCTAATACATATCCTAAGTCGCACCTTCAAGACATGAAAAACGCATGTTGAATTTCGTCAGTTGGCCCAATAAAACAGGAGATATAGAAATGTCCCGTCTCTCTCCCCCCCTTTTTTCTTTTTTTCCCCCGCAGTGTACATAGGAAAACAATGAAAACACAATTAGACAGTTTGCCAAAATTAAAATTACAAGCATTCAACAGTATTATCTACTCCACTGGTAAGTTTGATGTCTCTTACCTTCTAACAGATATTAATATTAGTAAAGACATTAATTATGTACCTGTAAAGAAACAAGATACCTTTTATCACTTTTTTAACAGATTAATAACTAATTTATTAGATTTTACAGCTCTATTATAAACTTCACATAACTCAAAGTAAATTTTACTGGTTTTATGTAAAGTATAATAATCTTTTCTTTAACATTCATCAAGCATAATAATAAAATTTTGTAAGAATACGGAATTTGAAAAATAAAAGTAATGCCTTTGGGAAAAAATTTACAAGAAATTTCCTCAGCTAAAGACAAAAGCAAATAGTTACTCAAATAAGTGATCAATTTTACCAGATCCCTCAAAAAATGAAATCTTTAAATCTGAATGATCTCTAGATCAAGTTTATTAAAATGAATTGCATAGTCGATAAAATTACCAATTCTACAGACCAGCAGCATCTAAACAGAATCAAACTTTGATTTTACAATGATGCACTTGTTCTCCTTTTTTTCTATATAAAATAAAACTGAGCTGTTTATTATTAACATTGTCCTAAACTTAAATGGGAGAAAGGAATGATTATATTCAGAAAAAGACAACCAACTTCAAGGCCACTAAAAAATATTACTCCCTTAAATCAGTCTTCAACCATACCTTCAATATAACACAGGGTTGCCACTCAAACAGGAAAATGAAATTCCCCGACTTTTCCAGGTTTTCCAGGTGTGTTTTAAGAAAATTCCAGTCTATCCACGTAATGCACATTGACTGTGGCACAATTACATATGACTTATATATATATTACATATGACTTAAAACTCCTCAAAGCATTACTATTATAACTATATATTACTATTATAAGCATTACTATTATAACTATATTTTTAATTTAGACTGGGCAGATTCTAATCTCAATCTTCAGTGTAGAATCTGCCCAATCTGAATTAAAAAATGTTTTTTTTTTTTTTTTTTTCAGACATTTTGCAGCTAAACAAAAGAAAAATCTATTTAATGATATTTTTAAATAAATTCAGATATTTTATATTTATTTAGTAGCATGCATAAGCAAAAAATATGTGCATTGAATTTCGTGATGGTATGTCATCATACTGCTAGAATTAATTTCAGGATTATGCAGAGAAAATTTCCTGAAATTTGAAAGTATTATTTACTAATAAATAAATTTAGAGAGAAGCAACATTAAATGACATAGAGAACATTAAAAAATGATAATTATTTAAAAATTGAATTTGAATAATCAATGATATTTTGGCGAATATTATATACATATTAAATGGTTAGCCTCGGTAACTGATTAGTATATTTTTATTTTATTGCAAAATGACAAATAAGGTATTTATTTTAAAAAAATGGGTGGCTAAAAAGATTTTGTGGTTAAATTTTAGTATACGCTACAGCCTTGGCACGATTTTGAAAATTATCGCCAACACCAAAATGACCCATTTACTGCTCATCATAATATCCCCAAATCCCGTGTATACAGTACACGGAGGCTATTCTAACCTCCATGGTACCCTATATTGAGATTAAACCGATTTTATTTTATACGAGAATACGTATTTTCCTTAGTTCAACATGCACTGCATACACGCATGGGAGTCTCTCGATACTTGAGGTTACTGGAAACTTGCTTTGTCTTTCTCTCAAGACAATGTGATTGGAGCTGCGAAAATTGGCTCTATGCCAGCTGGCCGAATGATGCTCACGCACATAATTCGCCAAGAAAGTGATCGCTTCCAACATCGGTGCAAAACTCACTTTTTTTGGTGGGAATAGCCATATGAAATTCCCTGACTTTACAAGATTTAGACTAAAATCATTAATTCCCTGACCTTTCCCTGAATTTTTTGGTCAATTGTCGAATTCCTCGACTTTTTCCAGTTTTCCTGGTAGCATGGCAACTCTGATAACACTTTTTTTATATATATACATAACTTAAAATTTAAAGCATTTTCAAAGGGTAAAGTGCAGAATCGCTCACTTATTTGTTTGCCACTTTTTACAAGAGTAAGAAGAATTGGATTTTTTTCAATTTTCTTTTGACTTTTTAAGTTAAAATAGGTCGTTGTGTAGATGGATAAAGTCAAGTGAATGCGCAATTCTGGGATTTTTTTTTAAGTGTAAATAGGTGGATGTATATATGGATACCGAGTATGTGCAAATCTTAAAAACGTGCCTAGCAGTGGATGATTCTGCACTTTCCCCTTTTCAAATTTTAACAATAAAAAGAAATTATCTGCAACAAGTAAACAAAACTGCTGATGGAAATGCAATGTTGCAGAGTCTACATAAACTCAAATGATTATCTACACTTCTTTAAGATATGTTATAATGTGAAATTTAAAAGAAAATTTATGAACACATTTGCAGAATCTTAAAATATAATTAAAAAATTCGCATATTGCAATTATAATGAAAAATTGGCCATACTTATATACATATCTATAAATTATAATCCAGAAACAAATTAGTCTAATAAAAACTCCAAGAAAATCATAATTAAAGACGAGATGAAAATAAATATCTGAACACTTCATTTCTCTTTTCCTTCGCGAGTAGGGATATAACTGAAGTTCTTTCCATGCATATATTTCTTTTCATTAAATATTTAAATGGGGAACGCAATATGACTATCTTTGCATCGTAGCTCCAAAGTAAATGTAATATTGAAATCAATCCACTCCCTCGGAAATAAAAAAGGATTCAACATTCTATATAGCTGAGTAAAATAAATATATACATTACATCATTTCCATTACAGATACACATCATTAAAATTTCTAACGGTTAAGTTTCCATAACAGAAAAGCAGTATAACTTCTGTGAGTGCGCTCTCTTTTTTTTTTTTTTTTTTTTTTTCAAACATTTAAAGAGCCTAGGAGACCGTGCAAATTATACGTAGCTATGTGAATACACAATAATAGACCGGCAAATTTTCCCACAAAGGCACATGAACATGACATATGTGCATTTTAAACGATTCAAGCGGATGTTTTTATAAAGTTGCACTGACTTAAACTATTGCACTGAAAGGGTCACTTATGAACAGTTTACTAGTAAATATCCCAAACAACTCACAATAAAAAAAACCTACCTGAAATAGTATAAATATTAAAAGTACTAACATAACTTTAGTCACACCTTTCGCAGTTGGTACAGCTGATGTACGAATTAACTGTAAACTGCGACTGAGAATGTATCTGTCTGTCTGTCTTGTTTGCTATTAAAGGTTGGAAAATATAAATATATTGCAAAAGATACTTAAAATCTATTACAGAATTCAAACCTTCATTTTTGTAATGCTGCAAAATATTAGTTTATTTCTATAGAATATTAAACATGACTGCTCAACTGCTACCTCATTCAACAAACTGAATGTTTATCCAATTTAAATCAAATTTCATTTATGATTAAATTATAATGCTCTGATATGATTCAGTTTTTAGCAGAATCAAAAGTTCCTTTGGTTTTAATTCGGGCGGTGAACAGAAAATAGGATTATATCTGTCAGCGTTGTGAGGTTTTACCTTTTCCCCCACACGCCTTGATTGCTCCTCCTAGCGCATGAGCGATAAGAATGCTCTACGAGACTGTCAAAAACAACTTTTTTCTTTTGTGTTTACAAATTCGTATACACACCTTTTCATCACTGAGATTAATATTATTGAAAAGCTAAGTATAAATTTTGATATATTAAAATAATTTATTCTTACAAATTGGTGTTTAGCAATTACATAGATGGTATTCGCCTTTCTCATACCACCACGTACCACACACAAGCCATCATTGAAAGATGGCACAAATCGCTGGAACTACTCTGATATGCGCCCTCAAGTCGCCAAATATTTTTGGCGAGAAACTTCACGTTGCCATATTACTATCTAAATTTTTTGTCTACATTTTGAACTTTTAGCCTAAAATGTCTCCAAAAACGCGGTTTTCGCACATGCAAAAACTACGTTTTGAACAAACAATTTAGCTAAAAATCCGAAACAAAAACAAAAAGTTTAGATAGCAAAAACGTAAAGTTTCTAACCAAAAATATTTGACAAGAATCCATGTACACAGCGACATGTTTTAACTTAAAAAAACATCTACGAATTGCACAATGTAGGCAACGAACGAATCTACAAACTACGCACACCTCGCTTTAATAAAATAACATAACAACAATAAATTTAAAATAATACCATGTACACAGCGTTCTGTTTCAACTTTAAAAAATACCTACGAATTGTACAGTCTAGACACTAAACAACAAAATAAACTAAAATAAATTTCAAACAATTTAAAAAAACAACAATAACGACAGAAATTCATACTAAAGAACCAATGAACATAACATTCTACAAAATAAGAAAAAGGATAAAATAAACTGCACTTACTATGAATTAATGCGTTTTCGAATAGCAGAAATATAAATTTCATACTGCCTTTACAATCCTCCACATAATCACTATCGTATTTACATGACAGCCAGTGTTGTGAAATGAACTGAAGTAATAACCGGCGCGAGGCGCTGCTGCTTGTGACGTCAGCCTGCGTGCTGAGTTTTTTTTCGAATGTTTTACGTGTGGACGAACGAAAGCTGAGCTCGGAAGAGTGATACTGTTTTGATGGAAATAAAGAATGATTTATTAAGAATTTTTTTGTCTTTATTCATAATGCACCCAGCCTCGGGTAGAGGCAGGCCCGCAACTGAACGAACTGTTTTAAATATATTTGATTTATATATTTTCTGTGTTCTTCGTAACATAGTGGTACCCTCGGCGGGACCGGGTGCTTTGAATTAGAATTTTCCGATTGAACTTTTGTTATTGAATTTCGATTTTGAATATACTTTGAAGATGGATTTGATCGCTTTAAAGGCTCAAAGAAAAGGACTTAGAATTGCGTTTTCGCAAACCTCAAGGAAAACCGAAAGTGAATTAACTAAAGAAGTAAGAGATTTGAAAATACTTTCGATTTTGAAGTGTCAACTTTGTGATAAATTCCAGAGACTTGACGTATGCCAGAGTGCTATATCGCAGCAGATTTTGCAGACTGAAGATGGAGAAAAATTATTTAGTGATGATTTTCAAGAAGCGGAGAATTATCGAGATAAGTTTCTAGAACAGTGTGCTCAAATAGATGCGGAAATACAAGCCTCCTCTCCTTCCAAATAATTCCGAATCTAGGAAATTTAAATTGCCTAAAATTGAGCTTAAAAAATTCAGTGGTGAAGCTAAAGATTACCTGACTTTTTGGAGTCAGTTCCAGAAAATCCACGATGACAAAAGTATCGCCGATGAAGATAAAATGCAGTATCTATTGCAGGCCATGGAACCCAAATCGAAAGCAGAACGCCTAGTTCCTTAGCTTCCCGGCAACGGCAGCTAATTATCCTAAAGCCATCGAACAACTAAGAGAGCGCTTTGGACGCGAAGATTTACTTGTGCAAATCTATGTGAGAGACTTGTTAAGCCTAGTGATGAAGAACGCTGTAACCGGAAGAGCAAAAACGGATCTACCCTCCCTGTATGATGAACTAGAAGGAAAATTGCGAGCGTTGGAAAGTTTGGGGAGAACCCAAGAAAAATATGGGGATTTTTTGACCCCCTTAGTGGAAAGTTGCTTACCAGAAGAAGTACTGATGGCATGGGAAAGAAGCCGAAATCACGACTCCATTGAAACTAAAGGGAATCGATCTTTGAAATATTTAATGAATTTCTTAAAACAGGAAGTTAAGGGGGAAGAGATGGTTCTCCTCGCAAGAACTGGTTTCGCTTCCCAACAGAACCATCGGAAAGAAAGATTTTAACCACGAACAGGTAAAGCAAAATGAATCCCGTAACAGCATCAGCTCTAGTAAGTCTTGAGAATTCAGGTAAGAGTGTTCCGAACTGTAATTTTTGTGAAAAGAAACATTTTAGTGAAAAATGTTACTCTGCAAAAAAAAAAAAAATGACTTTAGCTGAAAAACAACAATTGTTGTTGAAAAAAGGTGCTTGTTTTTCTTGTCTGAAAAGAGCGAGTTTCAAAGGTAAGTTAAGTTGTTCTATTTGCAAAAGTTGTAATCATTTTGATGTAATGTGTAATCAAAAGCTAAAAAATAATGATCAGATAAATGTTTCAAAAGAGAGTTCTCTTTCTAACTGTAGCAGAAGCGAAACTGTATTTTTGCAAACGCTTTGCGTTCGAATTCGGTGTCAAGGTCGCGAGAAAATTATTCGCTGCATAATTGATAGCGGAAGCCAAAGTAGCTACGTTAGTGAAAATATGATGAGTCAGCTTAAAGCATCTCCACTTCGGGAGGAGACAGTTATACATGCACTGTTTGGGGGGGACGAAACGAAACCTAAACAACATGAAGTGTTTTCGGTCGAGGTCAGCAATTTAAAAGGAACATTCGCATGTAGTTTTGAGGCATTATCGGAAAAAAGATTTGCGGTTTTATTCCTAAGGTTAAGGATAAAGAGATTTTGAATGAATTAAAAGAAAAAGAAATCGAATTTTCTGATCCATTGCGAAAGGAAATTGAAATTAACCTTTTTAATCGGAGCAGATGTTATAGGAAAGTTATTGACGGGAAATTCTATTGAATTACAGTCCGGGGTAACGGCTGTCGAAACGAAACTTGGGTGGACGGTATTTGGCAAACGAAATTCGGGTGAAAAGGATAATATTTTGAAAACATTTTCAATGCATGTCAGGAGAATTCCTCTGAATGAGTTATGGGAACTTGAAAAAATAGGAATATGCGCTCCAAACGAAACTGTTAAAATGAATGAAAGTTTTAATTTATCTGAATTTGAGAACAAAATGAAAATTCTTCCAAATGGAAGATATGAAGTAGAACTTCCGTGGAAATGTGATACGACACATTTAACCGATAATAAAGAATTATCCTGGAAAAGGTATCAAAAGATGATCTATAAACTCAGATGTAGTAAATTTTTCGATGATTATCAAAATGTGTTCAAAGAATGGGAAAGGTTGAATATTATTGAACGCGTACCAGAAAACGAATTGAATAATGAATGTCATTATTTGCCGCATAGGCCTGTAATCAAATTAGGAAGTGAAACCACGAAAATTCGTC